GGCGGAGGATCGCAGGCTGCGGGCGGCGGGATGGGCGCCCCGGGGGGCCGGGGCGGGGCGGGGGGCGCGCGGGGCGCCCAGTGCGCGCAGGCTCGGGGCAAATTCTGTCGCCCCGGCCTGGGTGCTGAAAGCAAAGCCTGGCCTCCACGGGCCTCTTCTTCGCCTGGCGGCGACCGAGATAAGTGAGTTTAGGCCCTCTGGGCCTACCTGCCCCGGAGGTTCTTGGTGACCCTGGACCCCGGCAGAGCAGGCCTCCAGGGACACCCCGCAGCCCCCGCGCGTAACCGACGCTGGTGGAAGGTGACAGGCGCTCTGCCTCCCCGAGGGAACCGGGGACCCCCGGGGCAGAGCGGGGCGAGCCGCGCCCCCGCGTCTCCTAGCGGATTCCCGACCCTCGATCCCCGCACGCGGCGGGGAGGGGGCCGCACTCCGGGGCGAACGTGACCGCTGTTCCTCAGACGGCGTGAGACGGGCGGAGTGGAGTGGTGGTCAAGGCCACGTCGGAGGCCTGGAGCTCCCAGAGTGACTGGCGCCGGCGAAGGGGCAGCGGCCGGGTCTGGGAGCCCCCGGGGAGGCGGGGACCCCCCCCTCGGGAGGCCGGGGAGCCCCGAGTGCCCTCCGCCCAGCCCAGCGCCCTCTGCGGGCGCCTCGCGTGTTTGTGGAGAGGGATTTATTACCTCTGCCCGGGCCTGGCGTGGCGCGAAGCCGGCGGGACTGGGCGGGGCGGGAGGATGTCTGCGCGGCCTCCCGCGCCCCTGCGTGGGGAATTTTGATCCAGGATGGTATCTCGGAGCCCCGGGCCGTGGGCTCGGGCGGTGCTCAGTGCTGAGGCCTGCAGGGTGTCCGGGGGAGGGGGGGCACCTTCTCTCGTCCCCGCTTCTGGTCCGGGCTCTTGGGCCTGGACGGCAAGCCACGGACCCAGGTCCTTCTCGGAGCCGGGGCTGACCCTAGGCGGGGGGACGAGGCCGGGCACGCGGCTCCTCCACCTGCCGCCCCGGCGCCCCTTGGGTCAGAGTCGAAGGCCGGCCCCGGCCAGCCCTCCCTC